TTCGGTAATGATGTATCCTTGGTCATTTTGCATCGTGGTCACCACCTGTCGCATGACCGAGCATTCGTGGCTTGGGCAACTTGAATGTAGCCACTTAAGCGATTACTTGGAAATCACTACACCACACTGCTCTTATTTTCCTCTTCTGCTACGGTAAGTGCAACAGCAACGCAAGCTTCGACTAACTGCTCTTCTTTAAGGTTAAACCTCGTGGCTGTCTCTTATCCGCTTCGCAGCAAATCTAAGACTGAGTTCTCCCTACAAATGCACCCGGCTACGGCTCTTCAGGGAACCGTCGATCTTCTGCGGCTGCGACCTTCTGGCTGGATTCTCCGCCGTCCAATCTTCTACTGCGTCGACCCTCCTGCTCCAATGTTGATCCGCTATGGCGTCGCTGCTTGTCTGCTCTCCTTGAAGGTACCCGCGAACGTACCACTGACTTCCAGTCCTCGCCGTCATCCAAGTCGTCGCTCTCGCTCACCGCACCTGTCTTCGCCATCTTCCTGTCGTTGTCCTGCAGGCCGTCTTCTTCACTCACCGTCTGCTCCTCGTTGCTTCTGCTGCTGTCCTCCGCTCGTTCTTCTCTCCGCTGCTGTTCCTCCTGCGCGATCTTTGTCATCACCGTCACCGTCCTCGATCGTTGCTCGTATCAATAGTATTCCATACTATTACTTCACAATGGTAATCTCAGCAGCTTACCCATCTTTACATTAGGAAAAGGCTTTCTGCCTAGATTCTGCAGTGTACACCTCACCTTGCACTGTAACCTCACCCACGCACACCAAACTACCTTTCATTTTGGTGTCCTCAGAGCTTGTTAAACTCAGGTCTATTTGCATGCTTGTTTGATAAAAAAAAATGCAAAAATCATTGCAGTTTCGAGCCGGTGCCCTTGTACGGTAAGTATCACGTAGATTACTTAGTAGAGTATTACTACCGGTAGTTGTATATAAATTGTGTGTGGTAGCTTATAATACCACTGGTAAGTGGCGGTTGCTCGTGGCCTTCCTGCCGACAAGAGTGCCAGACCTCCCAGCCTAAAGCCAACAGCCTCTTGTTTAAAACGTTTGCAGCATATAGTTTCACGTTAAGTGACACAGTAATTTTAAACACAAATTAATTGTGAGCTTCAAAACTAGTTTGAAATGCTGTATATAAGGTATGTATTGGAATCCAGTCCACCGTAACTGATATTAACAAATATCTGCAGTTTGCTCACCATATCCAGGGCGTCGTTACCTCCGTTGCTCATGGCCATGATGACCAGGTTCTCCTGTGAGAATGCCAGTCAATAATGCACTTTACGCATCAAGATAGTTTTGTCATGCATCCTGGTCGTACCTAGGTGACGCGGACATCGGTGCGATCGCATAAGACAGTATTTTGTGCTCAGTTACACTTCATTTAGCGCAATGTTGATGGTCGGCACTAGAGTAAGAAAAAATATTGCCAAAATTACAGTTCTCAAGGACATTACAGTAATTATATCATGACAGGCCAATTCTGGATTAAAAACAATCCAGCAGCGCAACTATAGCTGGCAAACAGATTGAAACTCAATGGATTGGTCATCTACGTATAATCGCGAATCAAACTGAAAAAAAGTTAAAGCTATTTTTTATTGGTCTAAAACCCGGTCTTTTTCCCTACGCACTTCAACATTGTGCATCCTCATGATGCTGTTATATGTACATAATGTATCTTGAATATCAGATTTTCTATTGGTTTTAAAACGCATAGCCGCGAAATCCTCTGAATAAAAAAGGTTTTTTTCACGTTAGTTTTTTTATATTCTTCGAAACGTACCAATCTATAACTGAGTCAGATAAAATTAAACGTACCGATACTTGAGCATAGTAGTGTCATGTTGCCGGTTTCCGAGTTCCTTTTAGCGTAGCGACTTGTGCGCAGTTCTAGCTTTGGTAGGTGATCTCTTACAGTACAACGATACAGATAGTAACCAAGTAAACTGATTTCATTTGGTGCGGTGCTCGAACAACGCTACGAGTCTTGAGAACACTCAAAAACGATGAAGCGTTTGTTATTAGTATTAGGGCAGTAGACTATCACTCAATATTCGTGATAAAGGGGGTAGCACAATGAATTAGAGGAAATTAACCGTGTTGATATGATTACATGCGGAGGAAATGATAGGGCAACGCACATTATGTCTGTGGATTATCTTGATCAACCTGGAGGTTTGGTTTTTAAAGAGATTGTTTTAGAGTAATAGGAGTTTAAAAAGGGTATAATCCAGGGTTTCCTAGATGCATACTGTAGGTAGCATTAGCGTGTTAAACCTATGATATAAAGAAAAATCTTTGTACTATTGCATTAGTATTTTTTCATGGGCGAGGACAAACTGAGGTCGATGGGGCGAAATCAATAATGGAACGTGGTTTCCAAATACAAAAATGCATTATGCGCTTGAAAGTATGCATAAAATGGAGGGCATCATACAATTTTAGGAAACACTGGTATAATCCCGCCGGAACGAAGCGAAGACGGGAAAGACTTTAACAAACGCGACCAAACATATATTACCACCGCTCGGCTACATGTAGTAGTATAATAATATGCACGTAATAGGATGGTTCCATTAGCTTGACCAGATGTCGATCACCGAGATGTTTGTGACGAGCACCGAAAGAATGGCGGACGAATTGTACCTCGGCAAGTCAACGTGATCCCTTCACCCCCTACGCGTTCATCGCACTGAAGTACTGTAGGCCAGTCCACTGCAACCAACCATGGACCTCTGGATTTTGCGTCACCACAACCGCTGTCGGTTTTATCGTAGGTGGTGTGGATGTGCTCTATAAGGATTGAACACTTAGATGGGTCTCAGTCACTGAGTCAGTTCCGAGGGCAAGCCGCACCAATGGATCACACCGGTCCGATCAAACCACAGCGCGTTGCTCATTTAACTCGGGCACAACGTCACACAGTTAGCCCGTAACTGTGTCGGAGTCGCAGCCATATGGATTGCTGGAGGACGTTGCGTTAACAGGCAAGATAGACAACAGGCACAGCCATGAAATGTTCACATATGGGGCTCTCAACATTACACTGCACAATACACCGTGTAAGGGTGTGCGAACTTCACACGGCGAAAGCAGACATGCTTTGTACTTCAAGCGAGTCTGCGCCACGCCATGCGTACGATGGGCTCGGTGTGGTGCCAGGCTGATCCTCACTCGACGAAATTCCTCAGTGCGAGCAGAGCCCTTCAAGCTGCGATAGCCATGCACATAGTAGAAGGATATTTGTACCGACGTGGACGTCACCTGAAGAGCTGGCGGCGGCGCTTCTTCATCTTCGAGGACGGAATGCTCCTGTATAAGAAGAATGACGACACGACCTCGAGGGTGCTGGACGAGGATCGCGTGTTTGACATTCTCTACTGGAGTGGACGCCCGCACGGCCTGTGTCTCAAACTGCGAGGCGATCGATTAATATACCTGACAGCGCGATCGGAGGAGGACGCAACGCGCTGGCATGACACAATAGAAAGTTATCTCACGGAGCAGCGCTGCATCGAGGACTTGCGTCGAGCATTGTGCCGAGGCCGCCTGCCTTCCATCCGAGAGAGCGTGAGTGAACTTGCTCGATTTGAATAGATAACTTATTGCAGCGACGGGTTAATCAACACGATCCGAGACTTCGTGGCGTGTATTACCAATTGGAGCTTTAATCAGATCTCCTTACCGTCAGGCCTCATAAGTTCACCTTCATCCAGCATTTTACACCCCACCGAACGACCAACTCAACGCAGTAACGACCAAGACGATGTCACGCCAAAATCGTTGATTTGTTAGCCGGCCTTTGCTTGCGGCTCTCAACCCACCCTTGCGTCGTACAGGAAGCTTACTCGGGGGGGGGGGATTAAGCTGGAGATAAAACCTCGCTCGATGGTCATCCATGCTGCATTAATCCACTTCAACACCGGGTCAAGAAGATGAAACCCGTTTGAAGTGAACCCACCCGTCACTGAATTTTCCACTTGATTTTCTCAGGTAAAGGCCGGGCGGGCCTGGTGTACATGAACCCAACAAGCCAACACTAGTCATCGACCCGACCCGGTTCGAGTGGAGCTCATATCGGAATCTACCTCCCACAGCTCAAGTCTCTTCACCGTTTCCTGCTCTCATCCTCCACCCGTCGCAGATTTCTTCGAGAGTAGGCAGAGAGAACAGCTATAGCGCGTAGTAGTGGAGAGAAAGATAATAAAGATTGACGCTTGTTGAGACTATAAGCCTCATGTCGCTCTTTGGGTCCTCTATCAACCCTGCGCCCATTGCCAACGGAGGCTTCACCTCAAGACCCTCAGCAACCTCCGGGTCTGGGGCTCCTGTTACCGACGGGTTTGGCTTTGCATCTGCTAGCTCTGTCCGCTTCGATCCCGCTTTCTCTGCCTCCAACGTTGTGCGCAGTGCTGTGTGGGCTGAGAATGCGTCGGAGCCTTTTGGCCGCGTCGAGAGCACAGCACGGTGCTTCGCACGCAACGGCAAGGTGGCAACCACGTCCAAGTGGACGCCGCCCAAGCCACCAAGCCGCCCACTGTTTCAGATCCCGCCCGGGTTCCACTCCAGTTCAAATGATGCGACGTCGCTGTTTGGTCCGAGTGACCCACGAAACGAAGCGACAGTGAATAACGGAGGGTTTTTGTTTGGATGTGCCGTCCCCACTACCAAGTCTGGCATGGCGTTTGGCACTGTAAGCGCTGTTAGCACTGGTTTTGGCGGAGCTGTGGGTCAGAGCAAGGCAACACCCATGTTTGGCAACACAGCCAACGTCTCGGGGTCCACTGTGGGTCCAGATTTCGGAACTAAACCCGTGTTTGGAAACGCAAGCAGCCCCTTGGAAGCCAGTAGCGAGGATTCTGGCATTGGGGGAGCTCGAACGGTGTTTGGTTTGGGTAGCAGTACCGCGAAGCCGCCCCTAGCACCACCATCGAACACGTTCGCGGTGTCGACGAAGCAGGTCGGGATCTCTTACAGCAATTCGTTCGCACCAAAAAGTGCCTCGACATCCAATCCGTTCACATTTACATCCCAACGTTGGACGGGAAATCCTCTTGCAACGAAGGTATCTGCAAACGAATCGGTGAATCCCTTTGTCACCAATATGTTTGTAAACACGACGGTGAATCCCTTTGCAACGAATGGGGCCGCGAACGAGTCGGTGAACCCCTTTGCTGTGAGAGGGTCCTCTAACGTGAGAGTAGAACCCGTTCCAGACGCGTCCATGAAGCCGTCTTCAGTGTCTGGTCCAGCAGCATCAACCAAGTTTAAACGCGGGCTACGTCCAGTTTTCAACGCGGTCCAACAACAACAGCCGCCCTTGGTTCAGTCTGTGTCAGTCGCTAGCTTCGACTGGACTGGATGGAGGAAGGAAAATGAGGCTATTCAGACGAACGTCGAGACTTCATTCAAGATGCCGAGCTTTGTTCCCAGCGAAGCGAAAAGCAGCTCTTTGGATGATTCTTCCTCCCCATCCGATAAGTCCTCTGCACCTGACGCCTTGATTGCGTCCCCCGATACAGATCCGTACGGTTCAGGGTCCTTCGGTGCAGGGCTTGTTGAGCAGAAGATCAAGACAGCGATCGCTAATCCTCCATCGTCTGTCGAACTCAAGGTATTTGATACATTGAGCTGCTCGAAGCCTCATCAGCAACCGTCGGCAAAGTTCGCCGCTCGACTCGGCTTGGCTAGGCAACCTCTGCAATCGCTACCTATGCGGTCGGTGCAGCCACGATTTCTGGGTCGCAGGGTGCATCCGTCCAGTACTGGAGAAAAACTACAGCACGCTGATGTCTTCCGTTTTTCTAGTTCGTTCTCCCGCCTCGCCATTTCAAAGAACCCTCTGCGGATTCGTGTTAAGCCGAGTCCAATGCTGATGACTAATGCGACGGCGGAAAACACCACAAAATCGGAGTCAGATGACGATGTTTCGAATGCTCCAACTGAGGTTACCAAGCCATCCGCTGGCCCTGACGACGAAGACATATGCAAATCCCCGTCGTCTGCTTGTCCCGTGCTCCTCAATAAGGAGTACTTCACCGAGCCGTCGGTAAGTGAGCTCCAGCAACTCACCGATAAAGAGTTATGCTGTGTGGGAAACTTCGTGATCGGCCGCAGGGACTGTGGAAAAATCACCTTTATCGATGCTGTGGACGTTCGTGGACTCCAGCTCGATGAACTCGTGGCGTTTTCCATGGGAGAAATTGTAGTTTACCCAGATGACAATGTCAAGCCAGCTATTGGCAGCGAACTCAACAAGCCAGCGATCGTGGAACTTCATGGCATCTACGCTGGGGAAAAAGAGTCACATGAGCACTTCTTGAAACGTCTTGAAAAGCACACACAGAAGATGGGTGCTACCTTCCTTGGATACGACAATGGGGGCGTGTGGAGTTTCCGCGTGGAGCACTTCTAGTGTAGATGAGAACAAAGGCATGCATGGTTAGTTAGTAGCAGTAGCTTAGTTAGGTTTGAAGTGCTAAGCAACACCAAATAGCACGAAAGGTATCCACCAAGAAAAGTAATAGCGTTTGGCGTGTTCGTTTCGTGTGCAACTTCGATTATGCCTTCAACTTGGTTTCGCCGTTCTTCTTGATTGCAGCGCACACACTAAGCTCGCCAGTCGATGAAAGTCGAGCAAAGATGCATCAGCTGACTCGTCCGGTATGACTCCACGAAGCTAGTCTCACGTCCTGTGACTAGATGCGAGATTCCGCTAAGAAATTCTGGTTCCAGTTCCAGAGGCGTCGAGATCGAAGATGTCTCATCCGTCGACTCGCGCTCCTGCGTGTACGACAGGAGGGACCGCAGTTGCACCGCCTGTGTGGCCAAGGACACGATCATCGACGAGACGCACGTTTGCGACAACAGCGCATTCGTTTCTCGCTTCTTGTCTGGATCTTTAGCCGAGGCGTCCCGGGCACTAGAGAGCTGCTGCGATAGTAACATCACGCGCTGAAGAAACTGATCCTCGTGGCCAGCTTCCAATCCCTTTTGCTGTTCAAGACGAAGATACTCGAGCAGCAGACCACCTCCTATGGTATCCACCTTTTCACAGCTCTTCCACTGTGGAATGTACACCGCCATAGGCTCCAGTTCCAACAGCAACTGCATCAGGGCGTCCTTTTCGTTAGCAAAAAGACAGCGCATCGCCACGTGCGAAATCAGACACGCATGAGCTTCTTCGTAGTGGCGGGCAGCCATCCAGTGCGCAATTTCCTCGTGACGCTGCTGCTTTGCAACTGCCCGCACAGCCAGCGCTTCACTAATCCATTCCGAGGGGAGGCTGAAGCGTTCACAAAGCTGTTCTCGCATGGACACGTCCGACGCCAAGGCATCAGCGTTGCGAAAAAGCAGTTCACGGCAGGTGTTCTCCCGCTCGACAACGTCTGCAATGTTGAGCGCAACATAAACTGCGTCTTCCCACAGATCCGCGCCTTCTAGTTGTCGGATGAAATTCTGATGGATGTGTGATTCCCACTCGCGATCAAGCTTGTAGCCAATAGCACGTAGAACACTCTGCAGGTGCCACGACAGCTCATAGTCCAGATGGTGTGTGCCTTGGCTCATGAAGCCGCTGGGCGACAACACTTTGCAGAGCGAGGCAACATCTTCGATGTAAAGCTTCATCAGCTCCATCAAAACGTCGTCTTTGTCCGTGTCAGCAGCTGCAAACTTTGACAGCGAGCCTGAAGCCTGCTGCTTTCTGACTGCGTCCTCGTACATCGTCATGGCGGACTTTAGCGACGTTGCAGAACCACGCTTGTACCACAAGAACAGTGCGAGGCACGCGATCCACGACATGCTCGCACCTTTCTGAGCTGTCAACACCTCGACACTACCAGCCAAGACGCTGTAGATGAGAACCAGAGTCTTGTCCATGAATTCCAGCGATCCGTTTTCGCTCCATTGGGCCATTTGTGTCTCCAACACACTGCGAAAATCATTGCCTTCGTACGAAGCTGCCTGTGCGATCAGTGTTGCCAGGCGAAAGTCTCCACACTCAATTGCCATTTCAGACGCTTCCGCAATTCGGTGTTGACACAGAAGACGCAACACGCCTTCCGGACTGGGGTTGCCGTTAAAAATAGCGACATTTTCAGTATCTTTCAACGCAGTCTCGAACCACTGCGAGATGGCCTCGCGACGGAGATCAATCGTCTGAAAAGTGTCCAGAGTTTCCACTTCATTGGGGTCGTCACGCGACGCGAGAGGGTAGAACGTAGAATCCGATCGGCCACCCATTTTGACGCCATGTTCTTGGCCCCACAAAGCCCGAATCAGCTTCCAAAGAAGCAAAGTGCGCTTATCGCTCGGTGTCTTTTGAGCTCGGGCTTCAGCGTGGGCGACATACTTGTGCATGCAGCTCATCAGCAAATCGTGAACGGGAAGTGCATACTGAGCGGGAACCTCGGATCCATCTCGGTCAATAAAATCGTTAAGGTTCCGTCCCTGCGAAGTGTACTCGTAGTGCAGCTTAAGCCCATCGTGGAGATCCGTCTTGCGTGTTTCAGAGAGACGAAGGGGGAACTCGATAGAAACGCAACGACCCTTGGTCTTCACATCTGAGTCCTTCTCCGAGCGCGAAGTGAGCTTTCCCAAGTTTACCAGTTCGCCGTTTGGGCCCCACGAGCAGCGAAACGAGCGAGCCATGAACATGCCGCCGTCGACATGGTTGCGCACGACTTTTGCTTGTCCCTGGTTCGACGCTTGCAACATCATTTGGTATGTTGTCGATTTATCTCCGGACTGCAGATGATCAGAACTGTTCACACCGAGGGGCTTCAAAGTGTACGAAATCACTGGAAACACCTCACTGGTAGGGCGCTGGTCTTTCTTCGTTGCCACCACCTCTTCCTCGGCACAAAAATCCATCTTAGGCTCTGCCTCAGGTCCAACGCTCTCCGAGTCATCAGATGTTCCAACCCACTTGTCGCTGACAATAGAGAGAGCCTGGTATTCTCCAAATGAAGCAACTGCACTTTTGTTGTTCACCTCGCCTGCATAGATACCGGACTGGCGAAAGAGTGCACTGCGGTCGGCTGAAAAGGCCATCTTTCCTCGACTAACCACAGGTCCACGTTTCATTTCAGGCTTTTGTGCCACCTGGTCGGTGCTCAGCAGACTCTTGTTGCTCGCGTCTCCAGCACTGTCGTGGTCATCCATGTCGACATCGTCGTCGTCGTCATCGTCATCGAAGCCATAGCGACTGAAGTGTTCAACACGGAACCGCCAAATGCCCTTCTCGATGGAATAATCGAGGAAAGTAGCACCGATATCTTGAGTACGCTGCTTGACACGCTCCTTATATTTCTCGGGGGACGTCGACTTGCGCGGCGGGGGGAAGATGCCCAGTAACTCAACAACAGCGGGCTTGTTGAGACCCTTGCCTAGAGGATGTTTCTTCTCATCATCTCTGTATACGATTACTTCCTTCTTCTCGAAGTAAATCAGATCGTCAAGGTCGAGATCGCGCACATCCGTCTTGCCGATCCACTCGACGGCACCCAAACCGCGGCAACCAACAGTAAACTTCTCCACTTGGGACAACTCGTGGTCAGTCATAGCCTGCAGATGCTCGTAGGACGGGATGGTGTAGTAATCTTTGTTCTTCAAGATAGGGCACGAAGACGACACAGGGGTAGCACGGCTAGCACGGTTTGCTTCAGTGTCCTTGAACAGATCATCTTCGTCCCGACTCGCTGAGGCCAAGTACTCGTCATACGTCATGAAGCGTTTAGGTGAGACCGCATCGTCAGTAAGCTGAGCGTCAGGTTTCTTGGATAGCGAAGAAATCGAGGCACGCTGGTTTTCACGGTTTTTGTCCTCTGTACGGTCTTCGATCACAACGACATCGATGGAGTCCCCTTCCTTCAACTGCAGCTCTTCAATGGCACTTGTGTCGTGCACAATTCTTCCCTTCAAAACCAGTTCAATGTCGACGATTGACGACGCCGCCGTCGACGTACTGCTCTCACGCAGCAACTGCTTCACTTCTGCCCTTGCTTGTTTAACAGTTTGGTTCGGGTACAGACGCAGCGAGAACGACTTCTTGTTGATCTGGTTACAGAAGCTGACACTGTATTTACCATCGTCACCAGGTTTCAACAATCGAGCGCGACCACTTCCAATTTCGTGAACATCGCCACGGTCACTGTCAATGATCGGCACAACCGACACACGTGAACTCGATCCGTTGCCTCGGGCAGAAGTTTGCTCGTTCTTGTTGATCACCAGCTTCTTGGTCACCGAGTTGCGGAACAGAGATGACGTAAACTTAAATTCATCCTCCTTGGCGCCCTTGTCACCATTAGACACTGATCCAGATCGGGTGCCGCTGGATAGAGCAGAAGGAAGTGCTCGGGAGGTAAACGTTGAGAATCTGCTCTTGGAACCCTTGAACGAGCCACGGATAAATGAAACCGGGATCGCGTGGCGGTTGCTAACAGTTTGGCGTCGAGTTACTAGAGGAGGATCCAACGGACCTCTCGGAAGGCCGACATCGTCCGCGAAGGTAGTCAGACGAGAAGATGAGCTAGAGCCCGTCTTGATCGACTGAAGATCCAGCGCCGCCTTCACATTCTGCTCAACGAGCCCAGCACCGAATGATCCAGCGCCGTACGGGTTGACATCAGGGGCTGCCACCAAGTTCTGAGGCTGCGCTGCTGCTGCCTGCACTGGTTGCTGTGGCTGCCCGAACAAACTACCTGTGGTTCCAAAGCCTCCGGGTTGAGCAGCCGGGGTCGCAGTACTTCCGAATCCACCAAAGCCGCCAGTGGTAGTGCTTCCAAAACCACCGCCACCACCGAATCCAAATCCGGTCGTTCCAGTGTTTGTGGCCGTGTTCGCTCCTCCAAATAGAGACGAACCTCCAGTACCCGCGGTATTACCGAAAAGTCCTCCTGTGGTAGAACTTCCCGTCGTCGATCCGAAGAGGCCGGTCGATGCAGGCTTAGCTCCAAACAAGCTGGTCGTCGCACCAGGTGTTGCAGACGGCGTGCTTCCGAAGCCAAAACCGCCAGTTGAGCCAGTAGATCCAGCAGTAGACCCGAAAAGAGAAGTAGTACCTGTTGCAGGTTGTGCGGGGGTGGTTCCAAACGCACTGGGCGCAGCAGGAGCTCCAAACGCACTGCCTGCTGAACTTCCGAACGCGCTAGTACCGCCAGTGGAACCGAAGCCGAAGCCTCCGGTTGCTGCGGGCTTCGGGGCAGTTGCGCCAAACGAGAAACCTGTTGAAGCTGGTGCTGAAGTAGTAGCTCCACCGAAAAGCGAGGTCGTCGCGCCAGCTTGCGGCTGCGCAGCTCCAAAACCGAACCCGCCCGTAGCTGGAGCAGCTGCAGGGGTCTGTGTAGCTCCGAAGCCTCCAAAACCCGCAGATGCTGCCGGTTTGCCGAATGCGGAGGCACCAAAGCCCGACGAGGCTGTGGTACCAAATCCGCCAAAACCGCCAATCTGTGGCTGTGCTGCAGGTGTCGCACCAAAGCTGCTACCAAAGCCCCCAGTCGTTGAACCAAAACCACCGCCAGTGGCGGGCGCTCCAAAAGCTGACGTGGCACCGGGGGCAGCTCCAAATGCGCTACTAGTAGCTGGCGCACCGAATGTACCTGTAGCGGGACGAGCGGCAGTACTGCCAAACAGACCGC